TCTAGATAATATCAAAGAAGCTCAGAAGTTGGATGTAAAACTGGTAAATTCGATGGTTGGGATTGATCAGTATGAGAATAGTGATTTTAAGTTAGATGCACAAGGTGTGTTGAGATTTCGTAATCGGATTTATATTCCTAATGATGTAGAGATGAAGAAATTGATTCTCAAGGAAAGTCATAGAAGCAAGTTGAGCATTCATCCGGGAGCTACAAAGATGTATTAGGATTTGAAGAATTTGTTTTGGTGTCCTGGAATGAAGAGTGATATGGCTCAGTTTGTGTATACATGTTAGAATTGTCAAAAGTCAAAAGTTAAACATCAGAAGCCTGCAGGGTTGATGCAATCATTAGAAGTTCCAGAATGGAAATGGGATAGCATTTCGATGGACTTTGTGACAGGATTACCTAATAATCTAAGAGGACATGATTCGATTTGGATGATTGTTGATAGGCTTACGAAGTCGGATCATTTTATCCCTATTAACATCATTTTTCCAGTATCAAAGTTGGCAGAGATTTACACTAGTGTAATTGTGAAGTTGCATGGTGTTCCTTTGTGTATTGTATAAGGTAGAGATCCGAGGTTTACTTCATATTTTTGGTAGAGTTTGCAAGAGGCATTGGGTTCTAAGTTGAGGTTGAGTTTGGTGTATCATCCACAGACGGATGGTCAAACTGAAAGGACTATTCAGTCGTTAGAAGATTTGTTGAGAGCACGTGCTCTTGAACAGGGAGGTTCGTGAGATACTTATCTTCCGTTAATAGAGTTCACTTATAATAGCAGTTACCATTCTAGTATTGGAATGAAACCTTTTGAAGCATTGTATGGTCGAATATGTAAAACTCCTTTATGTTGGCATGAATCTGGAGAAAGTGTAGTTCCCGGGCTTGAGATTGTTCGAGAGACTACTGAGAAGGTGAAGTTGATTCGAGAAAAGATGAAAGCTTCCCAAAGTAGACAGAAAAGTTATCATGACAAACGAAGGAAAGATTTGTAATTTCAAGCAGGTGACCATGTGTTTCTGAGAGTTACACATGTGACTGGTGTTGGGCGAGCATTGAAGTCTAAGAAGCCCACTCCTTGTTTTATTGGCCTGTATCAGATTTTGGACAGAGTTGGAAATGTTGCTTATATAGTGACTTTACCGCCTAATCTTTCGAATTTGCATGATGTGTTTCATGTATCACAACTCCATAAGTATATTTCAGATCCATCTCATGTGATTTATATGGATGATGTGCAAGTACGGGATAATCTTACTGTGGAGATGATGCATGTACGAATCACAGATCGTGAAATGAAGACTCTAAGAGGCAAAGAGGTTTCTTTGGTGAAAGTAGTCTAGTTAGGAGCTGTCGGAGAAAGCATGACATGGGAGTTGGAAAGCAAGATGCGGAACTCCTTTCCTGAGTTGTTTGAATAAGGTAAATTTTCGAGAACGAAAATATTATAAGTGAGTGAGAGTTGTAATGCCCGTTTATTTAATTAATCATTTAATTAAATTATTTTTGGATTATTTGTTGAAGTTGTGAGATGTTGATAATTGTTGGTATAAGTTATTATATTGTTATTAATTAATTAATTAGTTGATTAATAATAATTATAATGTTGGAATTAATAGAATAATTGTTTTGGGCTTATGTTATTGGTAAGAAGTAGTAAAGTGGGGGGAGGGCTGTAAGTTAAGTCCAATAGGATTGTTGATATAAGGTTAAGCTGACACAAGGATTTGGTTATTTTTGGGTGAAATAAGGAGTTATGTGCGCTGACCGTGTGAAGCCGCGCGAAGAGAGGAGCAAACTGTCCGGTGTCGAGCAGAACAAAGCAAGGTTGTCGGCTGGAAATTTTGTAGATCGACCTTCAATCAAAGTAAGGGTGGGGTTCTGACCGTATAATGGGATTGATGATGTGTATTATGTGGTAATTTTTCGCTTGTATGACTGATGTCCTTTGATGGTTGTGAATCTGTTATTGAAGTTGCCAGTTTCCTTATGCTGTGAATCTGTGGTTGCACGAATTTTTGTAACTCTGATTTCATATATATTGTCGGGTAGAATTGGAGTGTTACAGTTTGCAATAAGGATCAACAGATTTATTGGGCGTTCCAATAGGGTCGATCAGACTTATTATGGTTATCTGTAATATGGTTGATTATGGTGGATTAAGTCCTTGTGTATAAGGCAAATCACTTTGTGGGGTGGACTGTAGTAGCTTAGCTAACAGAGAACAAGATAAAAATAATTGTGTTCGTATATTTTTATTCACTTGTTATATTTGTGTTTTGAGTTTCAAAAATATTATATTTGATGCAACCCAATTCAACCTCCCCTTTCTTGTGTTTCTCGCGCCTTCAAGTTCTTCCCTCATTTATGATCTGGCCTTACTAAGTCAAATGTGTCTTATCAATTACTTTTATTGCATGTAATACTTGAGTGCTTCATTTCCCTAGAAAGATCATCATCACTCTTCCAAAATACATTCGAAATTACAAAGTGGTCCATGCAAAGAAAGTGAGGCCAATCACCGATGTGTGAGAATCCTTCAAACCCTTGCACTCATTCATTAAATGTGAAGACTTGGGGGGTAATTGTTCTGGGTCGGCCACATACTCATGGATTCAACCCCACTTTTTGAGATTTGACTACCGCAAGAAAAGGACTCCCCAAATTGGTCTGATCCAAACAAGTCCCATTTCTAGTCCGACCACCTCCAAGCGTAACATCTTAGATCCATCTCAAGCGGATACTAAAGCTTATGGAACATTCACTTGTGACTATTGAACCTTCAGTGATCTATGAGAAAAAGATCCATCCCTTCAATGCATTCAACGGTCATCCACATCTCACGCCAGCTAGTTAGTGAGTTACTTATTCAACTCCTCTATATATGTGGATGACACAATTTCAGGTAAAAAATTTAAAGCATAATTTGAATACTTTCACACACTCTTTCTCTCATTTTCATACTGACTTGAGCGTTGGAATACTAATCTTATAGGTACACCCCTTACTATGTCGCATCGGAAACTCTCCTCTATCGTAGCTTCTGTGACAACATCTATTTTTGGTTCCGATATAGAACATGACTGATACACTTCCTTCAACCTTCTTCATACAATATCAGACTTAATCTTTCCACCATTTTTTCTAAATATGACATTTCAACGGTTCAAAATTGAGACATACATCATTTCTGGTGGATCTGTTAAGGTAAATCCCAAAAGATCCCCCATACTGAAGTCTTTTGTCTTTAAAATATTGGTACCATCCATCACCAATGTACTTCTCATACCAATTCCTTGTTGCCTTATGAACTGCACAATCACATGTCTCACTAATGTCAGAATCCACCAACTCAATATCCCTTTGGTTCACATATAAACATCTCTTGATATAATCCTAGGAAAATGCTACAACAAAACATACTTTTTTTTCAATTTCTTTCTTCGACTAAAACAAATTGTTTGCACGTTTACTTATAAAACTTTTCCAGCATATTTTTCCCTAACTTCGTTGCCTCACTCACAACTAGCTCCTAATAAAAGTGTTCTTCATCATCTTCTTTGGATGAACTACAAACACGTGCAATGACAACACACCTAAATAAAACAATGGTAACATTAATGCTAGTACATAATTTTATAGTACTATTTTAAGGTCACGACTACTAAAAATAAATAACAATATATAAGAGGGGACCACAATTATATATACCTGCTACTGTTGCATGAGAAAAGAGACATATAGTTTGGCATTTTCTCTCATTGTTGTTGAGTTTCTACAATACCAAAACACTAGAAATTAACCCATTTTTGCAATGATGCATGTAAAAAAATTAAACCATAACTTAATTTTATATAGCCAAATAAGTCATTGGCTCTAGGGATGGCAAATAATCATGTCCGTCCTGCAAAAGCTCATAAAAATGGGGTGGACGGATTTTGTTGAGGGTACAGCCTAAAAACATGTCCCTCCCTTCAAAAGATTAAGTGTAGGATGGGGCGGACCTGCGGGCATTATACATTTTAAGCCTAAAAATTATAAATTTTCATGTTAATGTTTGCATCCATAAAATCCCACGAAAAATGTGACGGAACTTGATGGACATATTGGAGGATACATGCCTAAAACCTTGACATGCCCCATAAAAAAGTTTGGACAACACAGACATGCCCGACGAGCGAGACCCATTTTATTATCCTTAATTGCCTCGCATATAATCAAATTGGGCCGAGCTTTATTCTTCAAATTTACGGCCCACAATGTATAATCTTTTGCCCAAACTTTATTATACTTATACATTTTTTTGTCTATATCTTTGAGTTTTCCATGTGAAATTGCAACTTTCATACTTTTCGTCGCAGCATGGGAAACTAAATATAAAAATATTTTTCTTTAAATTATGCATTGCTTTTATTAAATATTTTAAATTAATTTTTTTATTATTTTTTCAATACAAATTTTTTATTTAAAAGTTTTTTTTTAACATGTGCTTTTACGACATAGGTTAGCATTACACTTTTATTATAATACTCTTAATTACTATTTGCACGAAAAATTCTTTTACATTATTCTCTAAATTACTTTTTGCATAAAAATCCCATTTAATTATTCATTTAACTACTAGTCTATTTGCATGAAGAATTCCATTTTATTATTCTCTTAATCACATTTTACTATTTATATCTACATGAAGAATTCCATTTTATCATTATTTATCATTTTCTAGCTGTTCCAGATCCTTCTATAGTGAACAAACAAACACAAACACCGCTATTCCTTCCTTCTTCCCAAGGCACTTTTTATTTCCATTTTAACCCCTCCATACCTAAATATACTAGGAACTTCTTACCTCCTTCCAACCTATGGCAAACTCGATAATACCCTAAAAAAAAGCCCAAAACGAACAATTCTCTAACAACCCTTATAAAAAACCCTAACAACCACATTCTCGTCTTCAACTTCATAACTCACTTCAAAGCTCTCACTCATCCAAAAATGGCATCATCTCGCTACGACCTCGATCTCAATCTCACATCAGCAAAATCACTCAAGAATGTCAACTGGCGCTACGGCCCTAACAAACCATACGCCGTCGTTTGGGTTGATCAAGCCAACAAATTCACAACCAATGTAGACTCAAATGGCGACACGGAAGCTGAATGGAATCAACCACTGATCCTCCCTTTGCCACTAAAACCGCTCGAAGATCTCACTTTATACATCGATATCGTTCACGCTGGATTTGAAGAAGATACTAAGAAACTCATCGGCTCGGCTCGGCTTAATCTTGTTGATGTTCTTGATGTTGGAATCGGCGAGCGTGTGAGTCGCACGCTCACATTGAAACGGCCTTCTGGAAGGCCACAAGGAAAGGTTGACGTTAAGGTGGGGATCAGAGAGAATGCTTATCATGCGCATCGTGCGTATTATCCTCCTCCTTATGGTGTTCCACCTCCTGAATCAAATTCGCGGGATTATTCCTCTGCTTCGCAGGTGTATGGTTATCCATACGGTGCACCTGCTCCACCTCAGCAACATGGATCGTATTATTCTCCTACGGCACCATCGGGGTACTCTCAAACGGTGTCGTATGGGCAAGGGGGTAATTATGTGTCGCAAACGACGGCGTATGGTCAAGAGGGTAATAATTATGGGGAAAAGACGTCGTATGTACGAGTGGAGGAAAAGAAGAAGAGTAAGTTTGGTGGGATGGGGACGGGATTGGCTGTAGGTGCGGTTGCTGGGGTACTTGGTGGAGTCGCATTGGTGGAAGGTGCTGAATATGTTGAAGATAAGATTGCTGATGACGTGGCAGAGAGGGTTGAGGATGATCTTGGTTACGATGATGATGATTTCTAGAGAGGGATGTTAATATGTCATGTTGTTAGTTATCAATGCTTTGTTATGTCAAGTGTTACGTTTAGTTATGTTTTATTCGTTGGTACTTGCATCGGTAGGTTGGTGTTATTGAAGTTGTTAGCATTTCTAGGATAAAATAATAAAGAAACATCTCTTCTCAAAATGTATCCTCTAATATACTCCTTCCGATTTAAAAATGAATGTGATTTTAAAATAATAAAATATATTTTAAATTGACTATTGAGAAAAATAGCAACTGTATTATTTTTGTAGGAAATTTTTTGAATTTCGATCTCAGTGACTTTGTATCAATATTGAGTTTAATTTGTGGTTAAATTAAACAAAAATTTAATTAGGATTTTGGTTTAGGAATTGTCACGATTTTTTATTAGTATGACTTTGTATCAGTATTTAGTTCAATTTGTGGTTCAATTAAATAAAAATTTAATTGGAGTTTTCAACAAGTTCATTGTCTTCAACTATCGGCTCTTTAGATTATCTTCTCTGAAGTTCTTAGTGATAAAACCTTTAACAATCCATCCTAAATTCTAAGTGCTTAGAGATATGAACGATTAAATTGAAAGGAAATTATTGTATTGAAAAATCAATAATTCGTCAATACACTGTAAAAGAGGGACACCCCCCTAGCATTAGGGGGTTTAGCTGCACATAATATTCAAAGAAATTACAATAAAAAAGTTAGACATTACAAGATAATTAGACTCCGTTGATCTTCAATTGTGATTGCTCTTGAAAAATCTTTATCCTAAATCTCTTGAAAGCTCTAATTTTTATCGTAGAATTTTTCTCCCCTCCAAAAGTTCCTTATTCCTTGTTGTTCTGGACTGGGCCGGGCTGGCCCAAAAGCAATGGTGAAGGCACAATCCAAACGGTCTTACAAGGGGTCACGCCGACCAAAGAGGCCACAGCCGTGCCCGACACTCTATGTTAGTTTGACATCCTCGACTCCATGCTATCTTGCTCGACCTCAGCTCGAACACTCCTCCTAGGGCAGACTCTGTCCACTACACCATCACCTGGATCCCGAAAAGACCGCGTCCTCGTTCGTCCGTACTTCACGCAGAACATCCAGGAAGGAGACCACGTGCGGGTCCCCACTACACACGTAGAACCTGGTAGTTCCTCCATTGGGCCAAACCTGCCCGGCCCAATGAAGGAATCTTGGCCCAGCGCTGGGGGCTATAAATACCCTCTGTTCCCAGAGGGTCAGGTATTCATTCTCTTACCCATACTCATACTATTGTCTGCTCGTGCTCTTACTTACTTCAGCATCGGAGTGCCTTGCAGGTACCCCCCCACCTCGTTCAAAACTTCAGCTCAGAGCCAGCCGTGACGGTCCAAGTCTGATCCGGTAAGATCAGTGGCGCCGTCTATGGGAAACTAGCTTCCCCGTCTTGCAAAACTCAAAGACCAAAGCTCAAACTCAACTACCACTGTCATGGCTGATCAAGATCGCGATGAACAAAACGTTCGCGTCGTCGACACCAACAACGGCCCCGCGGACAAAAACGGACACCTTGACAACACTGACAACCCCGATCACAACACCATCCCTGCGCCAACTGCCCCCGGACCTTCAACCTACCGCGATGGAGCTACTGCGTCGTCCTCCTCGGTCCCTCCGCCACTCGAAGAAGACGAGGTAGCTCTCGCGAACTACCGGGCTGCCCGGTTCCAGGAAGTCCCCGTCCCCGCCGGGGAGGACGCCATAACTCAAGCGCTGTTCGCAGCGATCAATCAAACAAATTACCTCATCTTTGCCCAAGGGGAAAGACTGAGGGCACTTGAAGACGACCGAAGACCCCCGAGGAGGCATCGGAGGCCCCATACTCCACCTCCTCGAGTGACTGAAGTCCAACTCCCGTCTCCCCCGCGGAGACATTGCAGAGAAACCTCTCGAAGCCAGTCACCCCGACCATCGGGAAAACGACCCCCTTTGGAGAGGCAGCCCATCATCCAAGCCGGAGGACGTGGTCGCGACCCGGGGAGACAGGAAAGAAGGCACTCCAGAGACGGGCGTGTAAGATTCAACCAACGAGCATCACGCTCGAGAGAGACCCAGCACGACCAGGACCGTCGCGCCCGACAGTATTACAGGTTCCCATCTTTGTCTCCGGAGAGGAGCGACGAGGACGACCCCCGCGGTCCACTGTCGCAAGCTATCATGGAAGCGCCCATCCCCCTGGGCATGGAGAAACCCCCGCACTTGAAGGAGTACGATGGAGTCGCGGACTCGGTCGACCACATAGACGGGTTCGAGGCTATGCTGCATTACCACAATGTCGGGGGGCCCATCAAATGCCGACTATTCCCCACGACTCTCAGGAAGGCGGCAATGGACTGGTACAAAGGACTCGCCCCGGGCTCAATCACCTCGTGGCGAAACCTGAAGAACCAGTTCATCAGTTCATTCACAGCTTCTCAGCGGCATCCAAAGACTGAGGCGGCTCTCGAGGCCATCATCCAAAGACAGGATGAAACCTTGAGGGAGTTCATCAATCGCTTCAACCGGGAAGCTATACAGGTCCCCTGCGCGGACCATATGAAGAGATATCTGCTGGAGAGGGGGCTCCTCCCCGGCACGGAATTCAGAAAAGCCGTGGGCATCGAACCACCCAGGACATTCGATGCCCTCCTCGAAAAAGCTCGGGCATACATGGACTACGAGGAGAGGAAAGCGGCCAACAGAGCCCGAGACCCCAGGACTCGCGGGTCCAACAGAAACTCGCGCCAGGAAGCTCCTCCTCCTCGACGAACTGGGGAGAAAAGAAAAGAAGACAGACCCCGGGATGTCCGAGAACAAAGGGGACCCTCGGGGCGTTTCACCGAGTACACTCTGCTCACAGCTTCCCGCGAGCGCATTCTGGTGGAGTGTGCCAGCACTGACTTCAAGGACGGCGGTGTCAAACGTCCCCGACCTGCCCCCGCCAAGCCCGGAGCAGACAAGAACAAATATTGTCAGTACCATAGGAGCCATGGTCATCTGACTGAGGATTGCGTCCACCTCAAGGACGCCATCGAAACCCTCATCAAGGGAGGGAGGCTCGCACAATACCGGCGAAGCGACGCTCCCCGTTGTAACACCCAGGAGACAAGGGAGCCGGAGGAAGATGCCCGACCATCTGACGAGTTGGTCCCCATCCAGACCGCTTTCTCCGTGACCAGGCCCGAGGACTTCGACATCCCCGAGCACCTGCAGGAGCCGCTCACAACGCACAGCAGGTGGGAATATTTCCCCTCCGCCATGGTCATCAACGACGGCGGATTCAACGACTTGACCATTAATTCGGCTAAGAGGAAGCTGGATGAGCTGGTCGACGCGGCGCCCCCGCAAACAGTGACATTCGAAAGAGTGAAGGGCAGGTCAGAACCCATCACCTTCTACCTAGAAGAGCTCCCCGGAGGAGCCCCAAACGCGGTCATCCCCTTACCGATAAGGGCAAGAATGGCTAATTTTGATGTGCATCGCATCCTCGTCGACGAAGGGAGTTCCCTCGACGTGATGTACAACCAAATGTTCCGAACTCTACAGCTGGACGACTCACATCTCTCGCCGTATGTAGGGTCGGACTTACAAGGTTTCAACGGCTCGACCTCCAAGCCTTGGGGGTATGTCGAGCTCCTGGTTACATTTGGAGAAGGAACGACGATAAGACAGGTCAAAGTACGCTTCCTCGTCATCGACTGCCCGTCTCTGTACAACTGCATCCTGGGGAGACCAACACTGGCAGAACTGACAGCAGTGCCCTCGACCGTCCACCTAAAGATGAAATTCTACACCAAAAGGGCGTGGGTAGCTACTATCCAAGGAGACCTGGCCACTGCTCGGAGGTGTTTCAACGCCGCATCTAAGGGACGCGACACTGTCGACGTAGGGACAAGGCCCGCCAAAAAGACACGACAGGAGCCTGATAAGCAAGAGTCCATCAAGGAAGAAGCCCAGAAAGCTCCACCAAAGGTTGACTCTATAGCTCTGGACACTCGTTTCGACCAGGACGAACCCCTCAACAGCGAGCAAGTTCCACTCCGACCAATACCGGACGGAGATTTTGAGCTCGTTCCCCTCGGCACAGACCCGACCAAAGGAGTGAAGATTGGCAAAAATCTCCCCGACCTGGCAAGGAAGCAAATCAAGGCCTGCTTGCGCGAGAATGCTGACCTGTTCGCCTAGAGCGCCGCGAAGATGCCCGGACTCGACCCTGAGGTCGCCTGTCACCACCTCGCCATAGATCCTGCCGCTAAGGCCGTAGTACAACGTAGGCGTAGGCAGTCTCCAGAAAAACGGAGGCTGCTGAAAAAGCTGTAAAAGACCTTCTAGAGGCAAATTTTATTTCTGAAGCCCGGTATTCCACCTGGCTGTCAAACGTTGTACTTGTTAAAAAGAATAATGGAAAATGGAGGATGTGTGTTGACTATACCGATCTCAACCGGGCCTGCCCGAAAGATGCCTTCCCTTTGCCGAACATAGACATGCTGGTCGACAACTCGACCGACTACAAAACATTGTCGTTCATGGATGCCTATTCGGGCTATAACCAAATCCCGATGGCCGTGAGCGACAAACACTGCACGGCTTTCATGACCAGCTCAGGCAACTATTACTACAACGTAATGCCCTTTGGACTGAAAAACGCCGGGGCAACTTACCAGCGCATGATGAACAAGGTTTTCCACAAACAGATTGGCGACATGCTCGAGGTGTATATGGACGACATGATCGTCAAATCCCGAGCAGACACCGACCACGCAGCACACCTCAAGACGGTCTTTGCCCAAGCAAGACAATGTAAAATGAGATTCAACCCCGAGAAATGTACGTTCGGAGTCAAGGCAGGAAAATTCCTCGGATTCTACCTAACAGAACGAGGAATTGAAGCCAATCCTGACAAATGTCGGGCGTTCTTCGACCTCCTGACACCGACGTCGAAGAAGTCAATACAGATCATGAACGACATGCTCACATCATTGTCCCGCTTCGT